TATATATATATATATATATATATATATATATTAAACACCACTTTAGCTTATAACTGTGATTTCTTTACCAGTTTGTACATGGGATTAACGAGATTCCCACTGTCCCTATCTACTATCTAGCGAAACCGCAGCCAAGGGAACGGGCTTGGAAAACCATTAAATATATGAATGAATATATACATATGTATAAACCACTCCCAACAAACTTAAGCTGCTGCTGCCATGTATTGATTGAGTTCACCGTTAAATAAAATACATACATGTACAAACAGGCTATTGGTTGATACATTACCCTTGAGAACAGTTGATTTTTGACCAGTCAGGTTTACAAGTTTGCAGGAAATGAGGTCTGAGTTCACCAACTAATGTCTTTATAAGCTCTGTAATAAACATTACATACACAAAGCCTAACAGGAAGTCTCCTAATACTGTTAGCCACTGTTTGTAGCAATGTTGAAAATGAGTCCTTGAGGTAATGGGATGATTATGAGCTGCTTCTGTTATAAAAAACTAGTTCAAAAAAGGATAAAAATTCATTAATTTTTAAATACATTTGGATCACAAAAACTTTTTTATATTAATTAATTGTAAGCATATAATTGAACTTGTATACATTTAAATCTAAAAGAGAAGACAAAAATTTACTGAGATGTATAGTATACATAACACAATATGTATAGTAATAATTAATAATACAACAGTATGTGTACACATTAGGTGTAGTGAAAACATTATACAAGGGACAGATGAACAACTATTTTCATGATTCCAGAAGCAATCATGAATAACACATACACACATACATATATAAATATTGATCAACTTCACTCATTCTGACTAACTGACATCAAGTCACTGACATGCAGCACTATCACAGTGCTACAGAACTTGCTCTTGACAAACTTCAATGTGGAGAACTGCTCACAGGAACAAGTTTGTATACATTTTGGGGAATTCCTTCTTTATCAAATCCAGGTACATCTGATGAATTTATTTAAGTTTGAAAGGCTAGATTATTTCTGCACCTGGTGAAGCAAGCAGTTGGTATTCCAAAACCAGAAGTTCACAGTTGACATCAGCTACATAGAAGGTGACCAAAGCTTGTGATATAGAAATTTTTTCTACATATGGAAGCACTAAACAACCAGCAGTCATCAAGCATTGCAACATGTTTTTTCAGAAAATTGAATTATTAGAGCATCAAATCCTATACTTCATAAAAAGGAACGTAACTCGGGGAATGATCTTTGCCAGTTAATATGACTTGAGTTTTAAAATGTGGATCCAATACACAGGAAACCTTTCTAGTGTGAGGTTCTCAGTAAATAACAACAATATTGTCTGCTATTCTTTCAGCTGTTGCAAAATGCTGGTCACAAGTTTCCTAATTTCTCATGCCTTCAAGATCTAAAACTAACACTTGAACTTGAGATATTGCTATTACAATGTTCGTGGGTATCTAAATGTGTCTACAGCTCTTTGAAGTCAAAGAGTATGTATAAAAACATAAACTTTTATTGTTACTTTACATTGTCTTCTGTCAGAATGCATAACAGGTTTAAGTCACATATAACAACCACATCTGACTGTAATAGATAAAAATACAGATTTGATCATATCTAGCCACTTAATTATTTAAATACAACTTCTAGAACTGCTCAGAACTTGATTTTTAGGACATAAGGACTGAAAGAACAGTTGTTGGATGCCTATGGAACTATTTCAAATGTCATTTCTACCGTCTAAAATATTATCAAATACAACATGTTAAGTCTAATATGAAATATATAGAATCAGTATTGTCTAATGCCATTCTTTAATAATATGCAAATTTTTGTTACTATATTATCAGTTTCATAACTTGCTTTGTAAATATGTTAGATTTTGTGACTCTAAGATCAAATATAAAACTGTTTTATACATTTTATAGCCAGATCTTTTGGAAAATTATTATTGGGTTGTTCATTACAAATTGTAATTAAAAACTATTTTGAGAAAATATTAGTAATAGATTATAGCATGAAAAACAGTAAATGCAAAATATTATATGTAGATTATGCTGTTATAATGATTCTTCAATACTTCTCAATAAAATTTGTTTTTATCTATTATATATTCATTTAGATCAGCCCATGACTGATTTTATTCTTTTACAAACTACAGGGTTTGTGAATGTTAACTACTATCACATCTCCAGTCATTCAACGTCATTTTAAATCACAAAATCTGCGACACCTTCGACTAAACCTGAATTTACTTAAGAGCAGTGGGATAGGTTGTCGCAAAATAACAGAAGATTTGATCAAGATATTTATTTTGAATTAATACTGAATCTGCAAAAAATTGAGTCTGAAAATTAAATAAAGAGACTGAACACAAAGTAAATGAGCAATCTCTGTGTGTGTGATTGCTGTTATTAAATATGGGATGGTCCCTTTTATTGGACCTTTCTTTCAGCTTCTTACAAGATTGTGTACAAGACTGTTTAAATCCAACTTTCCTGACTAGCACTATCCATGTGACTGATCATTCTTATTCAAGCATAAGGGAGGATGTAACCTTGAGATACCACCTGAATTACCACTGAAGGACACTAACAGTCAACCTTCTTGCATAATGTGCAGCATATCGGCCATTTCTTGCATGGGCAGAACATGTATTATCTCCTAGAGTATGACGAAGGAACAAATAGCTAAAATGAGATGAAATTAATGGTTTTCTCAACCATGTGGAACCTGTATCTATACAAAATAAAGGATAAATTCAGAATAAGTACTATAATAATGCACAGTGTATTCATATACCACAAACCTTAGATCCCTTTTTAACAATAAATCAGAAATCACAAGAAATTGTAAGTTTTAATAATGGAATGTTTACACCATAAAACAATATTAAATATGGTTATGTATTGTGCGTGATGGGGAGTACAATTGGACTAAATTGGTGGAAGTTAGAAAATTAAGGTCCTATAAGTTATTGGACACATAGATTAACAGTGTCCTTAATTTACAAACAAGCAATTTTTTACCTTTCTAGAATATGGTTATATTATATTTTTCACAATTTAAATAAATGAGGTTGATAGTAGTTGTAAAAGAAAACTTGCTACCATTGTTCAATCTTTGTTCAAATATAGCTTTTAAGTTTAAGAATATGGCAGAGTTAAGTTACAACATACATTTTTTATTGGATGCTTAAGGTAAGTGCTACTGACTATTTATAGTACACTGTTCTCTATTGATAGGCGGTTAAGATTTAAAAGTTTAATTAAATGTGTACGATTGTAATTTAATAGTTATATGTAAGAATTCATTGTAATAATTTTTTTTGTTTGCTTGTAGTTAAGCACAAAGCTACAGAATTGTCTATCTGTGCTGTGTCCACCACGGGTATCAAAACTTGGTTTTTAGTGTTTTAAGTTCGCAGACAAACTGCTGTGCCATTGGGGGGCCATTGCAATAATAATAATTCTATATATTATATCATAGTGGCATTAATATTAAGTTTGTGTACATTTACATTGTTTACAAATAAAATTCAAACTTGTAAAATTTATTTCATAAAACTTATAGTCTATTCCTGTTAACTAAAGAAAGAGAAAAAAAAAATACCAGAAGGGCAGGTCCAAAAAGAAGAGATCCAAACAACATTGCACCAGTAACAGTGTCTCCTTCAAAACGATGTTGAATTAAAACATCTTTGCATGAAAATCCTATATGTTTTGGTGGAATTATACCGACGAGGGACAAGCAACAGAATACAAAGGCTGCAAAACAAAATAAAAATTATCTTATTATGACAGAAATGATTAAGTTAATCTTGGATTATGAAATAAAAACAATATTGGAGCTTTTACATTTTCTGTTGATAATAAAAACTAATATGTGTGTTAAAACTATTTTTAATTTACTACCATATCTCAAGAACATTGCAGATGCTTGTTAGAACGTATACACAAAACAGAGCAAAAATATGTTCTCTAAAATATATTTAAGTAACTGAACAATGAAACAAAATATACATATACTAGAGCCAAATGATTAACTCGATTACCTAGAAGCATTATACATTGATTAGTCACGTAAAATAATCCATTGATCGAAATTACAATTAAATCGGTTAATGTCATGAAAATAATCCATTAACTGATATTAGTGTTTCTTATTATTACTGTTTTCAATTATTCCAACTATCCAAGTAATCAAAATACTGCCATTATGGTTTCTAATTATTATTTGCAATTAATTCAAGATTTCTTAGCTTAATCATACACAATGATAATTGGGTTGGATGTTTGTCTGCTTGGATTTTGAAATTATCCAATTAATTTATAGAGTATCAAGTAAGTGTCTTTCTGCAAGCCAAAGGGTTTTCATTATACCACTCACTCTAAAAGTCATCTAAATAAGTACTCAGCACTTATTCTAATGCTGTTGACACGGACTGGTGGATGGGACCAAAGGCATTGTTTATAACAAGAAATTAACTTAAAATAAGCTTCATGAAAATCAAACATCAATCAAGCATTGGACAATAAGCTATAATGAAGATCTGTGGCCACCATTTGTAGTGATAATTGATTATTTACAAATTAAACACGCAGAAAAAGGAGTAAAAATATGTAAATGTAATTATATTACGCTAACATATGGCAGATTTTGAGAATATGTCACATATAGAAATTCTATAATAAATAACTACTGTCATGGTATTACAGAAGAATGAGCTAATTCACAACAATAAAAGCAATGAGAAGACAAATGTAATTAAGTTTTTTGATAGATAAATTTAACACAACCCTTGAAAAAAAAAGAAACATCTCTAATTCAAAAGCACACTTAATAAGTAAGTGAATTAAATAACATTTAATAATATTAGGATAGATCATACTGTTTCGCCAGATACAGAGTCACCATAATTCCTGAGTGAAATACTGGGACATTTTGTTTTTCCATAGGGAGTGGCACTGTAACAGCCCTGAAATAGCCTAACTTAATTGCAATAACATTTTTACATTTGCTAAATGATCTGATGCTTATTGCATCACATTTTAAAACCATTGACAAACAAAAGCTTATTTAATAACAATGAAAACAAATTTAAATAAGTTGTCTTGAACCAACTTAAAACAAATATGTTGCTTTTTTTTTTTGTACAGCTGTGAAAGTTTTCAAATCTTAGTTCCTGCAGCTACCTAATGACAGGTTAGGAACATTGAGCCATATGATTATTCAAGTGATTTTCCAAGTTAACATAAAGGAGCTCTGTATAATGACGAACTGTACATTATAAAACTCAGATTGAAGCACACAGAAACAGCCATTTTAATACTTTCACTGTTTCTGATAAGGACTATCCCAGTTTTACTGGGAAATCTGGTAACCCTAGCAGGTAGTCTTGAGTTACTGTAGATGTTAGAAATCTCGGACTATTATGACTAACATTGGCTGATTCACTTATCAAACAGTATATACATTGAACTTGATATTTTGTGGGCATGTTTACATAGAACTTATATGTAAACAGATAAATAGATCCTAGTGTAAGAAAAAAAAAAGAGGTATGAAGATTTGGTTGGAGAAAACATAATGAAAGAAATGTTAGGATAACTGAAATTAATTAAAGGAAATAAACGAAAATGAACAAACAAAGGACAATACAAAGCTGTTTCTTTAACCTTTCACTTTCACAGGAAAATGGTACTGAGAGAAAATGACAGTGACAACTTTATAAGTTCATTAATTACAATGAAGGCCTCTCTGTACAGTCTCTCACACTACAAAATGTTAGCTGCCAACATACAACTCATAGCGGAATGGGTGGGGTGGGGCGTACCCCAAATAATTAAATTGGGGTCCAAATATCATTGGCCTCACCCCAGTATCTTGCTGACAACAATTTTATTTAGTCCTTTTTTTATGTGCACTTGACCCCTGTGATAGTTCAGCCTAGTTGGGCATTCATTGTTTAAGTTTTCCTTCTGAGCCAACTATTAGTGATTTACACCAATAGACGGCATCAACGCATGAATATGTTATATTGCAATTAGTCGATGATCCAGTGTAAAGTCGGAGCCTATGTACAGTACTATCCCTATCGCATAGATAAGGTCTCACGTGAGATGTATGTAACTAATTCTTTCTATTAGAACTCGTATGCTATTACGAATGTTTCTCAACAACTGGTCATGCTAATATTTAGAAATGCATACAACCCAATCATAGCACCTACAGAAACATAAAACTAGTAACAATAAAAAATTGATTGCCGCTAATAAACAATACAGATAGGTTGCTGATCCTCAAGTTTATTAGTGATCTACAGAGAATTGTTCATTAATATTTAGTATTCTTGATTTCATAACAATATGATCTGTATTATCTGAAGTATAAGTTTGGGTTGTTATATAGATTTATCTTTGTAGTGTGTATTGTTCCTTATTAATAACATACCTCACATGCAGATTAAATATTACATAGTAAAGGTAAATTTATAGTATTGGATCTGAATTCTTATTCCAAATTTTCTTAGCTGAGTATACTAACAATACATTTTAGTTCAGCGATATATGACCCTACACAACTTCACTAGCACAGAAAATGCAGTCCAGACACTTTGTTATCATGTGGAAAACGAAGCCTATGTTCACAGTTCCTTCTTAGCCGTATTCGTAGATGCCACTTACAGAATTCGTGCAATAAAAATTACCAGTTTTTTATATTGTATATATAATTACGTATGTAAAAATGCCATCTTCGTCTGCATAGTGAGATCACCGTAATTTGTGATATCGGTTTTATTTTACATATTACAGGAAAGCTATCCCCCCTACGACTGAGATCTAATTGGGGATGTTCCATTCTTCACAGAGTCAGGTCAAGTAACCTGCTTGAGGCAAGTTACAGCTATATTGTCTAATTAGTGGTGAACCACTGGAAACCAACACGATTATAGATAATAAAATAAATAAATAAAACGAAAAAAGATCAATTGCCAAGAAATCTATAAAACTACACTTCATGAGAACTATTAAAACTTGACAAACAACACATAATTACAATAACATAAAACATGATGAAAATCCCAAGACTTATTTACAACTATGATTTCAAAATGCAGGAATATTCATAACAACGTAATGAGATGTTTTATAAAACCACTTGCTAGTTTTCTGTGAGGATTTCAATAGTGACAATATTTGGAAGATATTTATGAACTGAAAATAAATAATATAAAACTATAAACACGTGTAAAATATTTACATATAAATAATTTGTATGATTGTGTAAAATAAAAATTTTTACATTTATAGCAATTTACAAGATTCTTTTGCATTCTTGACCTTGAACTGAAAAATAATTGGTACTATACCAAAAGCGTTTCCGCCTGAATTCAAATCGATGTGTAAAATTTGACACTTGACTGCCATAACAACAGGTGTCGCGTGTCTCTACCCAAACAGTGAAAGGAACACTCTAGGAGATAGGGGGCACAATGTTAGACGAAACAATTACAAATACCTCTTATTTATAAGTTCCATGTAGTAAATAAGTAAGTTTGTTTGTATGTAATTAAGCACAGAGCTACATAATGGGCTAAATGTGCTCTGCCCACCACGGGTCTCGAAACCCGGATTCTAGAGTTGTAAGTCCGCAGACATACCGCTGTGCCACTGGGGGAGCAGTAAATAAGTAAGTTCCTAGGAAAAGCCCAGCTGACTTTACAAAAACTTGTCAAGTTCGAAACAGATCGAAATTCAGAAAAGTTGCAATTTTATGTGATTATTTTTTAAATAAAACATTATTTGTAACAATACAACGAAATAACTGCAGAATATTGAATGTATTTATAAACTATCCATATCCACAAATAGGGCATTTCTTTCGTTGCTTTTACCATACTCTATTGCAGGTGTAGAGAAAGAATTGTATAAAATTCTCTTCACTTTGTATCTGCATAACGTAGTATCCTCGTCTTGCAAATTTCTCCAAAGTGAGAAACTGTAAGTCGTTGTTTCATTTCTCCCCCCCCCCCACGCGCATTTCGTCGCGACTTACTACGCTATAACGTCCGTTCGACTAACCGTGGTGGCGATAGGCACAGATACGCCTGTTGTGTGGCTCTGGTG